CTTACCTCAGGAATTCAGCTTTCAATTGTGGTTGAAACATCTTGGAAGTTGAGTTCCTTAACCTCTAAGATTTAAGGAATCTTAAAATACATACATACATTATAGAATAAAGATCCAGGTTCCTGTCCCCTACCTATTAAAGTTTTCATGTTTTAAATGTGTTTAAAAAGCAAAGACCAGGCTGTGATAGGAAATTGTTACAGACGCAAGCCCGCTACGTGTTAGCAGCATGAACATCTTGCTGATAGCTTTGCATCAGTTCCTTTTGGTACTTGTGATGAAGCATGTTAACTACTCCCCTGATTAAAATGACTTCAAATGCAGGTTCTGGAGCAAAGAACTTGAGGAAATCCTTGGAATTTCACTTCAGGTCTGCGAGCTTATCTTTTTAAAATGTTTACCTGATTTCTGAATATAATTTATGATTCAAATAAGGAATCATAATATAACAAATTATTTACATCTTGGGACTTTACGAAATAAATGTTGAGGTAAATAAAATAGTTCAGTAGGAAATGATGACTAGTCGCTTGTTTTAGGTTAGTAGTTAATATAAAGTGCCATGTAGAAGCCTTGAGAGAATCCTCCGTAAAAATCAAGAAGGATTGACGTACGTTCATCGCTGGGGAAATCCTGTGATACTAGGTTTAGTGTAAATGTTTGCTTTAACAGATTTGCTTCTTTTGGTATAAAAGCCTGTCTTTAGAGTTATGTAATTGGGGAAAAGAATCCAATTTTTTTCTATTTTCGTGTTCTTTTTTTCAGGCTGAACTCACAGGAATCAAATGGCGTAGGTACAATTTTGGAGGGCATGGGGACTGTGGACCCATGATTTCAGCCCCAGCCCAGGATGACCCAATCCTGTTAAGTTTCATCCGCTGCCTGCAAGCCAACTTGCTCTGTGTGTGGCGTCGTGATGTCAAACCAGATTGCAAAGAGTTATGGATATTCTGGTGGGGAGATGAGCCCAACCTTGTGGGTGTAATACATCATGAACTGCAGGGTAAGTTGTTTGTCTTTTCTTAAAAAGTTATTTGCATTTTGTATTTTGAATAATGAAAAATTCCTGGAAGATTATTAAGGGTGTTGCTTAAAAGACAAATCCCAAGTGCTTAATGGGCGTGCCCCACCCTCTTCCTGCTTCCTCCCACCAACAGTTTCTTTTTTTTTTTCTTTCAAATTCCCTTGCCCTTTCCCAGTCCTGTTGGGTGTACTGGAGTGGCAACCAGGCTGAGAGCCACTGTTTTAAAACGATATTAAATTGTGAAGAATTAGCAAGACACAGTGAAAAGAGCAGAATTGTTTTTCTTGGACTGTGGCTGTTGTAAGGAGCTCTGGTGGCACAGTGGTTGAAGTGTTTGGCTGCTAAAAAGAAGGCCAGCAGTTCGAACCCACCAGCTGCTCCTCAGGAGAAAGATGAAGCAGTCTGTTTCTGTAAAGAGTTATAGCCTGGGAAACCCTCTGGGGCAGTTCTCCTCTGTCCGACAGGGTTGGTGAGTTGGAATCTACTGGCAGGGGTTTGATTTGGTTTTTGGTGGCTGAGGTTCATTGCCAGCTCATTTCTTCGGTGGAAAATTGTAAGGTGATATTACAGTTACTAGGTGTGAGCCTGTTGTGCAGTATCATGAGCTGACATTGGAGTATTTTAAAGAAAGATTAATAGAAACAGTTCAGCCTGTTTTTGGCATAGCAAGTTTTACTTTTTTTCCTCTTCTGGTTTTTATGTAATTAGGTGATTCCAGGAAATTGGCTCCAGTGTTGGCTCATTTTTAACTTCAGTTTGCATCTGCTATCTAGAAACTTTGAAATAATAATCACATCATAACCAGTGGAGATTTTACCATTTCTTGTTACAGTTTTGGCTTCTTCACCTGTGTTTCTGTCTAGTATGCTAAGGAAGTTGCTAACTCAAGATCAATTCTGATCTTTAATTAGGGTATTAACTCTTTTTAACTAAGTCTCCCAAAGCCAACTTTTATTATTTCAAATGGTCTCTATATTTTGTTTACTTGTTAAAAATTTTCATATATTCTTTGCAGTAATTTGTTAGGTGATGTTTTTAAAGGAAAGAATAAAACTAAGTTTAATGCATATTTGAGAGTCGGTTCTAAAGCTCCTAAATTTGCCTCAGGTATTTTCTGCAAACTTCTGCTTGATACCTTCCTGGCTTTTCTTTGCAGCCATTTTTCATTTTCTTTTTTTTTAAGTCTGTGGTTTCTCCTGCCACAACAGCCAGAGGGCAGTAAATCACGGTGGACTAATTGAGCTGTTTACCTTATGGTCCATTTGTTCAGCTCAAACCTTTCTCCCGATCTTTTTTAGAGTATTTGGTGCATAAATGTATGAACTTACTCTGGGTTAGAGGAGCTCTGGTAGTGTAGTGCCTGAGGCACTTGACTGCTAACCAGAAGGTTGGCAGTTCATACCCACCAGCTACTCCTCGGAAGGTTGGGCAGTCTACTTCCGTAGTGATACTGCCTCGGAAACCCAAGGAGGGGTTGCTGTGAGTTGGGTCTAACTTGAAGGCACATAACAACAACAATATATTCTGGGTTAGATTGTTTACTTAGGTGGTTAATTAGCAAAGTCTCAGAACTTAAATACATCTCAAAGCCGATTTTATATAGGTAGGAATGAACTCATTTAAAATGAACATCTGAGTTCTGTTCATTAGAATTTTTAAAAATAAGGTACCTCCTGGAAGGTACTTCAAGACGTTTGTATTTGCCTGTGTAAGTATAAAAACATAATATATACTTTATTTTTTTAAATTTTACACCTAATAGAAAAGTGCAGCATTGTTTCCTTTTTTTTTTTAATTTTTTTTCTCTTTTATTTCTCATTTTTTCCTGATCTCATCTCCTTCCATTTTTCTATTCCACGTTGATCCCTGTGTTTTATCTTTTGGTCTGGTCTTTATTTGTTAGCAGTGCAGACCATCATTTTGTCAGGATGAGGAAACCGAATACGAATACTAGACTTAGTTTATTTATAAAGTTGTTTCTCTGTACCAACAAAGCAGATGATCAGGTTCTTAAAAGCAGCTGACCAAGTTATTAAGTTGTTTCTCCTGGCCTTTGCCACTTTGCTAACAGAAAGAGTAGCCTTTTAACTTTTGTAGAGTTGCTTTAGATTGCACATGTAGATTCTTTAATGTCTTAAGTATTTTTTGTTAAAGAATTAAGCGAAAATTTGACTACTTTTTAAATTGCTTTTTTCAATGACCGAAATACTGCATCTTAATTAAAAAAGTTAGGAAAATAGAGCAGTACTAAATGAAGAGAAGAAAGAAAGAAAGCTCTGTAGTCTAAAGCAGAGTTTTAAGTCTTTGATGTTTAAGAACAAATGAAATTGATGTTCTTCTGCTTAGTAACGCAGTCCTTTTCATTTAACAATATTTCATGAATGGTTTTCTGTGAAGATGAGTACTTTTTCTTTTCTTTTTTGTTGAGACTGAAACAGTGTAAACTGCTTAATTCTTTGTGTGCTGCCAGGAAAGTGAGACAGTGATGGACTAGCCCCAGTGTCATTGAGTGTATCTTCCTTTTTGAGTATATTGCCATATTTTAGGTAAAAGCCGGTTGAAAAGGCAATTTTGTATGGTTCAACCTAATATTAGGAAGTATTTGAAACTTAATTGAAAAAGAAGTGATAGAAAGATCATAAATTATGTTTCAAGTGAGGAGGATTATGACAGGTGGAGGCATTGTGAAACAGTGAAGGGTAAAAAAGGAATATTTTGACTGGTGGTCTTGCAGGTTGAGACTACTTCAGAAGCCATTTCACTCTCCAATATGTGTAAGACAAATTAATTTTGGAGTGAAACAAGTGTCAGCAGAACCGTGTTGGTAGGCTGCAACAACTCAGCATGACACCACCATTACTCGGGACACTCCCCTTATTGGGGATTTTATGTTCCATAAAATGCTTCTTAGTTATGTTATTTGGCAATTCCTTTTGCCTTTACAGAGTATCCAAAATAGCATAGTGCTAAGATACTCCATAGTAAAACATCATACCAAAGTAGCCATCCTGCATTTAAATGTATAAAGTATCCCTGTTGGAAATAATTATTATTATTCTGTTGGATATACAAGTTAGTTTTATAATGTCACACTTTTTGTTTAAATGTTTGAAATTATTAGGAGAGTCTGGGAAAGATGTGAACACATGTGTGGTCTGTCCCTGTCACTTGGATAAACACTGTGCTTTTCCGGGAAATTGCTGTTTACACTGCAGTCCATGTGGGTTCTGTTGTTTGGGTTTGAATCTCTGCTCAGTCATTTACCTGTGCTTCAGTTTCCTTGTTGTAAATTGGGTGATGCAGATCAAAATAAAGTACTTAGAACAGCACACAGAGCAGTTAATCTATAGTTGTAACTGTTGCTACTGCTGCTTTGATGATAACAATTAACTCATGTATGAAAACTAAAACTGGCACTTTAAAAATAATAGTTTCTGTTTGGTATAGCATTTAGTGCTGGCTAATGTCTGTCAAGGAGCTCTGGTAGCATAGTGCCTAAAGTACTTGATTGCTAACCAGAAGGCTGGCAGTTCAAACCCACCAGCCACTCCTTGGAAGGAAGGTTGGGCAATCTACTTCTGTAGTGAAACCACCTCGAAAACCCAAGGATGGGTCACTGTGAGTTGGGGCCAACTTGACGGCACGTAACAACAACAACAACAGTGTCTGTCATGTTAATTTTTTAAAAATACTGTTTTAGGCTGAAGTAATTCTGTCTTCATGTTTGGGTGGAGTAACTGGGAATAACGAAATGTTGGAGAAGCAAGGATAATTGTAAAATTAGTCTAGACTTATGCTATTATTAAGGAGCTCTGGTGGCCTAGAGTCTGAGGTGTTTGACTGCTAACGAGAAGCCCGGCGGTTCAAACCCACCAGCCGTTCCTCGTAAGGATGTTTGGGCAATCTACTTCCCTAGTGAGACCACCTCGGAAACTCAAAGAGGGGTTGCTGTGAGTCAGGACTGATTCGACTGCAGTGAGTTTGGTTTTTTGATGCTATGCATAAGATTTGATAATAAATCCTAAATTGCTTTATAAAGAGGTGAGTACTTCAAGAGTTGACTCTGGGATCCATCCATGTAAGGTAGAATTGTGACCTTTTTGCCTTCTCCCTATAGTGCTGTCAGAGCCAGGGCACTGGCTGAACAGTGAATGTGTGTGTGTGTGTGTCCAGTGTGCAGGTGTGCTCGTTCATCATTGTGTCCACATTAGGAGCCCACTTACAGAAGTTTGATGTAGTCTGTACCCTTAATATATTTATACTCTAAAAAAGGTGTAACACAAGCACGCAAATACATATAATGCAAAGAATAATGTGTAAGAGAAGGGTAGTAGACTGGAGGCTTTCTGATAAACTTACAACTTACAACACTGGGAGCTCTGGTTTCAAGCCCTGGAAGCCTTGGTAGATAGTTGTCTGCTTGGTTCTGGTCCACATCTTCTAGCTCTGATATTTCATAGCACCTGTGTTCGAAGGAACGCTGTTTGTGGCACAGCGGTGATTGATAGCCTTGGAAACTGTATTGAGCAGTGCTACTCTGTTGTGTAGTGTCGTTAGGAGTTGGGAATCAACTCAGTGGCAAAGGATTTGGGGGGTGTGTGTGTGTGTGAGAGAGATCAGTCCTGGCATGTAAAATGAAACCTTAGTTTTAAGGACTCAGTCTCATTGGGGAAGTAGCTAAATGAATTCATAATTAGGATATAATGGAGAAAGTGATGTAAATAAGTTATAAGATCTTAAAGGACGATCAGATTGAAGGTATGAAGGAAGGCAGATGATGGGAAAACCCAAAGGAGGTGAGGCTTGAGGTGGATTGAGGTATGAGTTATCTAGGTTGGGGTGAAACTTGTACCAGTCAGAGGAAGTATTGTGAACAAAGGCTTGGAGCCATGGACTGAATTGTCAGAAGAGTCATTTGGTCTGGTGCATAGGATATGAGTGAAGTAGTCAGGGAAGACTGAGGCTGCGATGGTGGGCTG